TCAGGAAGAGAAATTATGGCTCCTCTTCCAAAAGATAGAATAGAACAGTCGCCTCCATTTTCAGTGACAGGCCTGGATTTTGCTGGACCCTTACTTGTGAAAGACTCTGACAGTAAGTTTTGCATCATGCTATGCACCTGTGTAGTTACACGAGCAATACACCTGGAAATTGTTTCCAGTTTAACAACTGAAGCATTTTTACTTGCTTTTCGTCGCTTCATATCCAGAAGAGGACTTTGTTCTGTTATTTATTCAGACAATGCTCAGACGTTCAAACGAGCAGAGTTTGAATTGAAAAAAAATTGGACTATTTCGAGCAGTTCTGAAGTGAGTGAGTTTTATTCCTCAAAGGGAATAAGGTGGAAATTTATCGTTGAAAGAGCACCCTGGTGGGGTGGATTCTACGAGCGAATGGTTCGTTCAATGAAAATCATTCTTCGGAAATTACTGAGGAAAACATCTTTGACTAGTGAAGAACTCGAAACAGTTCTATGTGAAATAGAAGCTGTGATTAACTCGAGGCCTATTACTTACGTGACTACAGACTCTCCATATACTTTTCCTCTAACGCCATCCCACATGCTACTTGGAAGACGATTAATAAGTTTATCGTCAGTCAAGTTATCCGGTATTGACTGCATGATAGACAAAAAAATGATAATTAAAAAATTTAAATATCGAGAAAGACTTATAAATTAATTTTGGAAGAAATGGAAAGGGGATTATCTTTTAAATTTAAGAGCTGTCAATTATGTAAATTTGGATAAAGGTAATCAAAATTTTAAGGTAAATGATATTGTTTTGATTCATGATGACAAACTTCCAAGGAGCGTGTGGAAAGGAAACTTGGAAAAATTGTGGAAACATTTCAAGGACGTGATAACAAAATAAGAGCATGTGCTTTGAAAACAGATACGTCAATAATAAAACGTCCTATAAATTTATTATATAATTTAGAAGTGAACAATTAAATTAGTATGAACATTCTATTTGAACTTTAAATTCACATTTATTATTATTTGAACATTTTATTTTACAATATTACTTAAGATTTTCATTTAACTTACAAATTAAGTTTATCTTAAGATATTATTTGAACTTTTTTGATTTAAAGAAAATATGCATATACAATATATATTTTCTTGTTTAAATGCATGTTTGTTTGAAATTGAAATATTTTGTGTTGTGAAAATTGCTTGATTTATTATTCATGATATGATAATTTAATTTCATCAATTGATATTTACTTAAATTTCAATAATTTCATTTATAAGGTAATAATTTGTTAAAGGTTTGAACTAATGCTCCTGAAACATATTATTTTAAGAATTCGATTAATATTATGTAAAAAGGTAAGATTATATTATATTTTAAATATTGGTACTTTACATTTGAGAAAAATAACTTAGATTAATATATGAAATGACTAAATTGTTATTAACTAAGAGTTCATCGGGGGGAAGTGTGTTAATAATATTTCTCCATATTAATTATAATTTCTAAAACTCAATAGATGGCGCTCTGCGTAGTAATGTAAAATCATTAGTTTTCTAATCAGTTTCCTCCATGACACGGTACCATTATCATCATCCTTTTATTATTAAATATATATTATGTTAAAAGGCGTTTGTTATGATTGAAACCCCGAGATCTGAGATCATATCACCGTATTTAATAGACGGAAACAAGACTAACTCGAAGACGGAAAATCGGAATTTTTTTTTTCTCTCCTTAAAAATAATTTTTAGGTCTACGTTATTGGTCTACTTTCTTATGTCCTGTTGTTATTTTGTCAAAAGACAGATGAATAAATATTTTTTGTACAGTATTTAAATTTAAACTTGATGTATTATGGTAAAGCTTTGTTACTGTTTGTCTACGATAAATCAGATTAAATAAGTCTCCTACTGGTGGCTGAGTCAGCCAATCTGGTATACTTCCCATACAAGCTATCATCGAAGCTACCCTCCCTAAAATGCCCTCTTCTTGTTTCCATAGCACCAGACTGNGTTACTTACTATTAACTTAAAATGACTGTTTTTTAAACTTCTAAGGTAATATGTCATTTTCCTGGCATTCAAGATATGGTGAATTTCTATTTTATTTTTTTTCTCAAGCAAATGTCAATAAACTACATTTTGAAGACTTTAAATTTGAAGAAATTGTTTGGTCCGAATTGTCATGTTTCGTGAGAATCACCCTTATAACATTTTTATTAATTTAGTATTTTCTAATATTCTTTCTGGATGACTTAGTTGTGGACAAGTTAATAAAAAACTTTTATTTTATTAATAAGTTATCCCTCTATCTTTTGTTTTCTCGCAGCTTTGCTTCATTTTTTAGAATAATTTTCTTATCTATTTTTGCTTGTCTGTTGCTTAAAGACATTATTTTTTAGTTAATTATTTTATTTTATTTAACTTAATTAGATATGGATTGTTTATATATTTGTTAGTTTCTCTTTAGAATAGTTTGATATTTGATGTTAACTTTTTTTTTCTTTTTAAAAAATTTTCTTTTAAATAAGTATCACTTAATTAAGTTTTTATAGTATTATTGGTGCTTATCTTTTCCATAATTAATATTTTAATCGACATTAATGTATTAGGTTTAAATTCTTCATTGTGTTTTCAAAAATGTTCTGACGTTGATTAAATAGGATTTAACTTAGAATATTTATATATTTGTATGATTTTTTCGCAACAACTTCGTACTTATAAAAAAATTGCTTTTTTTTGTTGCAAGATTGCTTTGTAAATTCCCTTAGTCTTATTAAAACATATATAAATTAATTTACAAATGCTTTCTTAGAGTTGCTATTTTATTTATAATTCTAATTTACATTATCAATTTCTTTTAAACTTATTTTGATTTATCTTTGTATTGAGGAATCTATTTCTGTTGTCAAGAAAATTCAGGTTCCAAGATTATGTACAAAATCTAGTTTTTTTAAAAAAAAAAATCATTTCTGATCAACTTGTTTATCTTAATTTTGAAATGTATTGCTTATAGGGCACCCACGGTTCAGGGAGAACAGTGAAAATCTGGAATTATCAGGGAATTTTATTTGTTGCCAGGACCAGGAAAAGTTGCTTATTTTTTTCCCCACAAAAACTTGGAAAAATTCGATCATTATATCTGTAAAATAACCGGTCTCAAAATTGTCGGTTACAGTAATCAGTTACTGAGATAAATAATTCTATTACAATTATTCGGAGGAAAAATGTCATGTTTTAGTGAAATTTCCAGGCTCATTCCATGGTATTATTTTTGCTTACAAAATATTTGACATTAAAAAAAATCAAAGCTTTCTGATGAAAAATTGCATGGTATAGATAATTTATGTTCTGGATTTTCATTAAAAGTTTCCTGATATACCTGGAAAAGTCATTTTCTTTTCCTTCTGAAATTAAGTAGGAACACTGTGCTTGCTTTTTTTTTTTTTTTATGTTGTGGAGAATTAAAGAAACATGCTGCATGAAACAAAATTTTCTTAGCGAATTTTCCTATTTTGTAGCCCTTCATTTCCCTTTCTTAAAAATAGTCTAAAATCCATGTAATGCATAAAAAATGTCCTTATTCTTTTTTAAAAATGTTGTCATGGTTTTTATTTTGAACCACTACGAAGCCTGCATAGGGAGAGTGTCTTTGGTAGCACTAAGAATTATTTCTTATTAATTGCTTTGATTATTTTAAGCCTTTCAAAATAAATTATGGATTTGTCAAAGAGCAATTGAGCACTTTTCTGTTTCTGATATGTCAAATTTTATAATATATAACAATAATTAAACAATTCTTAAGAGCAGAGAAATAAAGCAAATGAGATTAGCTTTTTGCACCATCATTACTTGAACTATTTGGTCAATGATGAATGTGATTAGACTCTCTAATTTCTTTCATATAAGATTCATGTACTTTTGAAAATTTGAAAGTGCTACACTGAAATTGATTTAGAAATAAAATTCACACTACTAAGTTTAAACTATGAATTTAATGTCAAATAAAATGAGGTAAATCTATATAAATTTATATTTCTAAATATGAATTGATGAAAATTGGGACTATTAAGTCGAAATCTTTGCCCCCCCCCTACTCTCCTAATCCCTACATGTAAGATTTATCTATGTGCATGAGTACAATCCAAACGCTACATTGGCAGTTATTTTTTTATTTTATATCCGGCGTTGAACAACCGACCCAATTTTGGGTTTACGACCACCAATGTTCAACTCCGTAGTCTTGTAATTTTAAACCAATCCTGAAGACAAGGAAACTTCTGGATCAGTACCTCCAGAGGTATTGATTTGTTATGGGAACATGGAGGATTTTGCGACTCGACAAATTTAATGTGCATCAGTTACCATTTACTACATGGGGATTCTTCGGTCGGCGGAGATCGAACCCACTAACTCTTGGACATGGGCTCAGTGCCCTACTAACCAGGCCCTCAAGGCACCTGGCAGTTATTATTGCCAATGTTGGCAAGAAAAAAAACTGGTGCAGATGCATAACAAATTAGCATCAAATGGGACAGCTATTTATTGCTTTAAAAAGGGCTAAGAATCACCTCTAACAGCAATGATCAGAAAGAGAAATTAACTCATTATCACACTAATCATATAATGCAGTTTACAGATTTCAATTCAAAAATAATAAGCATTTATGTTGTAAAAAATTCTTTATTTTCATAGAAAAAAATTTACAGTAGTTATAAAGAGAAATATTCATCGCAAGATTGCACAAAAAATATCCCAGCATTTTTTGGTAAGAAAATATAAATCTTAATTACATAAAGATTTCAACACTTGCTATAGAGTTACTGCTTTTCCGTAAAATCAAAAATAGAAATTCAAAGTTTGTTTATAGTATTTCAAAGCAGAATAAATCAGTAGAGTTCTACATAACTAATTTTGACTCTCTGCTGCTCTTTTTTTTTTTTTAAATTCTACACTTGTATGTTTAGATAAAACTTCTACTTCAATTAAGGTATAAAAAGAATTATTTGTTGATCATTAAGTAAAATTGAAAGTTATTTTAATTTTGCTTACAGAAATATGGAAAACATTTCTGAGCCAGAAGTCTTAAAATTATATTAATCAAACTGAAAAAAAAAAAAAAAAAATTTAAAATGTTTATAAGAATGAAACAGAAATCAAAACACAAGTAAACACATAAGTTTCATGCATGGAAAAAAGCATGTTTGTTCTGAGATTAAACATGAACTAAATGTAATATGAATCAATCATTAAAGTCACTATGAATATGTAATTATGACACTTAAATAATGAAAAAAAAAATTGACATGTGAGTAATGAAAGACGAGAGGATGTAAGGAAGAGGTTAAAGTTATAGAAGTTCACCAAAGCTGACATGACCAGTGGCAGCAGCATGAGCTGAAGCATCTTTTTCACCAATCAAATTTTGACCGCAATCATTGCACTTCAATTTAAAGTTGACTATATCAGTAAACTGCTTACTTGATCGAGCTTCCCTAGCTACTTCTAAAGCAAGTTCCAAAATTTGAGTATCAGATACATGAAATATCGTTTGAAGCTTTTCCTCACGCTGCATGTACAATGGATCATAATGAATACCATCATATACAACAATACCTCTTCTTTGGTAATTATTACTTTCTCCAAATCTTAACATTTGACAGCTCATGATGTCAATGGCACAAATCTCTAACTTGAAAAATTCACTTAAAATGGCAAGTTCAATAGCTCCACCCCAGTTGGCTTGATTGAGAATCCATCGGCAATACTCGGAGTTTTCACGACCTAAAAAGGCATCATTATATTTCACAGGATCTTTTGACACTGCATCAGCAATAATTCGTCTCAGTTTATCACTTTTTGCTAATTCTAAAAGTCCATTGTGCACAAGAAAATAAACACTGGAAAATAAGCACGAGTTGTTCGAAGGAACATCATATCTCATCATTATTCCGGGCATAATATCTGGCGCGCCATTGCTAAATTCCTTCATTTGTTTCATCACTGGAGGTAGTTCTTGTTTCCTTTTCTTAGGGCTCTCACTTGAAGTTGGTTTATTGACATCAGGTACAGCTTGGGCATTCAAAGTTTCATCAACTTGAATGATTAAAGTCTCCCCAGATTCAATACCCACTTCATCTAATTTTGAATTATCATGTTCCAATTTTATTGGCTTTGGGGGATATCCACTAAGAATTTTCATTTTTTCGGGTTGAATTTCGGTTACTTTCATAATTGACTCCTTCAATGCCTTTACAGTACTACTGCTTTCCAACTCGGATATAGTAAATCGTCCGCTAGCAGATATACATCTGATTGCGAAGCTAGAAGTAGCCATTGTCTTCTTATCTGAAAAGTAAAAGTACATACATTTAATAATAACACAACAAAACTATTTTTCAAAATGAATTTAATTAAAGATGAAACATTTAGAATATGGTTAAAATATTTAGCGAACTAAAAATAGTTATCTTTTCATAATGTTAAAAACCATGACAAATATCAAAAACTTACTTAAACCTTTAAAACTCTAAAGAGGAGATCCTCAAAACAAAATTTTCTTAGTCATTTTGTAAAACTTTCTTCATAAATTCAAATATGTTTATAACCTAACACAGTCAGAGACTTATTGTTAAAACTAATAGTAATATGCCTAATTATGTATTTAGTAATATTTACATATTTGGTAATTCTACAAATAAGGAATATCTTTTTATCCATAACAATTCTATTAAAAAAAAACCTACAGAAATATTGATAAGGTTATTATTTTTATATTATATAAGCTGAATATAAAGCATTTAATTTCATTTTAATATTTTAGAAGAGGTGTGCAAATCGGCATAAAAGGCATGTTACTAAAATTCTCAAAGAAAATGTCACAGGGGGCTCATTCCATGTTAAACGGATCAACATTACTGTCATCTCATAGGTTAATATCAGAAGCTCAGGATATTTTTAAAGAATTTCATCTTAATTTATAAAATTACCAACGAAAACAAAAGACTGACCAAGAAGATAATTTTTTTTTAATATCTTAGAACATGTGCTAAATCAATAAATTCATAGTACAACTTCAGCAACACTAACAATCAAAATTTTTAAGCGTCCATTAAAATTGCAGCACTGATGACCTCATAGCTGCTTTCACTTTTCACACAGTTGTCTCAACTCCAGGCCTAGTGACTCGGAGCAAAAATATAATAGGAAATATAGGAATTCATTTAAGAAATGATAGGAATGTTTTGAAAATAATATATGAATCCCTAATATTTTGTTTAAAAAATATAGGTTCGAAATTTGCATAGAACATGCACAATTTTTATTTATGTGTTATTCAAAGCCAATGTTATGAAAAAACATTTCTACAAAACCATATCTTGGCTTTAAAACTTAATGTTTTATTAGATAATCTAACTGGAGAAAAAAAGAACACTGATTGTAGCCAAATTTTAGCTTTCTTGCCCAGGACAGGTTGGAATATATTCCTTAATATATTTGAGTAAACCGTAGACTTATATCAGTGTTATACATTAATAAAAGAATAATTATATAGATAATTAATAAAGTAATTAGATTTTTAAAATTTTTTGAGAACCAGCAAAAGGTTTCAAATAATATTTCTAGAAAATCTGAATAAAAACAATTAAGTTCATTAATACACAGCATTAGAGTTAGGAAAAAAAGTTTATTAGTAATAATGTTGGTAATACTAAGTAATATTATATGAAAATTTTACTCCTCATCTTTGCAAGTCTCCTGTAGTAAATTCTGGGAAAGACTCAATTAATCTTATAAGGATTTCACATGATTTTCTAAATCATGCAATTTTTCTTTGTTTTTTTCGCAATTGTTCCGATTCAGACAGAGATCGTTTTTCTGCGTCTATCTTAGCTTAGGCAGCTTCTTTTTCTTCTTTATATACTGAACGTGCTTTAGTTACATAGTTTAATAATGAGAAAGTCATAGGAATATTTAAAATGCTATTATCATGCCTCCGAACAGCATCTTTATGTAATCTTAGGCCAATAATTGCTTTTTCAGACAAACAAGATCTTTCTGGTGATAAAATTGCATTGTTGACTGAGAATCCTCTCTCAACATCTGCATTGCCATGTGAAAGAGAGAGAGGCAGGATTTTACCAACAAATATTAGTTTTTGTACTTTAGTACACCAGTGTATTTAGTATTGAGCACTTTAGCCCAATAACTGACCACTCTTTTATACTTGACAGAATTTTCAGAATGAATGAGAGAAGTGAACTAATCACAGAGTTTGTCGATATCTCCATCCAAACGATAAGTTTGCCAGTCTCTGACAATTGTGTCAACTTCCTTATCTATAAGATGAAGAGATTTCATTTTCTTGCACTGTCTGTTACAGCATTGTCAGAGGAGTCTTTCCTCATGATAGGGTGTAACACTTCCATATCCTTAAAAAAATTATTACAAATGGGGAGATTTTCTTGTATAGAATTTGTCAATATTACAAGGAATTTTTTAAATTCACATCTGAGATGCTTACGGTCTGGTTTCTTAAGCTTTAAAACAGTCCTTTTGGCACCTACTCTTATGTTAATGTCTTGAATCGGTTTTAAGTTTGCTGTGTCATCAATGTTAATGTTGTATAAAGGCACGCCTTCTTCCATAGCAACCAAGCTTTTTTTCACAAATTTGATCATAATACAGTGGAGCCTGTCTAAATTGACCACCCTCGGGACCAAGTCAAATGGTCACCATATAGAGGTGGTCACTTTACGAAGACTCCTTAAAAAGGAGTCTTGAAATAAAACTTGTAGAAAATGGTCACCTTACTCAGGCGTTCACTTTACCCAGGTGGTCACTTTTACAGGTTCCACTGTATTTCGTAAAAATTCATTGGTTTTGTTGTACAAAAGATGCACCAGAGGTCCTTCTGCTTGAATAATTGCTGCGTAAGAATCCAAAATTGGAATCGTATCAGAAACAAATTCAATAACCACTAAAGATGCTGGATCTTTTAACTCCTTAACAATTCTCAGATACCTTGAATTACTCAGAATCGCAGAAGAGTTACAAAATACTCCAATGCAGGATTACACTAAAATGATCCTGTTTAGTACAGGACGAAGTGTGAGCCATCGAGAACTAACGTGTCTCAAAAGAATTTTTTGTTCTAAATTGAGGAGGCTTTGCAGTTCTTTCAAATCTTCTCTTCTCGCTGCACTTGGTAAAACCAAAAAGGTCAAACCAAAAAGCCAAAAACCAGGTTAAAAAAACCAAAAAGGTCATTTGCAAACTGATCTAAATCAAGTGAAAGAGAAGATATGGATCTGAAAAATGAGTCATGAACTTTGTGAAGGGAACATGTCCCAAAATCAACAAGTTTTGGTGAATTTTCCAGGGCCAGTTTCTCGTTAAATTTTTTAGCAACTGATATTTACATTCGGTCGATCCTGACTACGCATTAAAAGTTTACTTAGCGGTAATTTACTTAGCGTGTCTCAAAAGAATTTTTTGTTCTAAATTGAGGAGGCTTTGCAGTTCTTTCAAATCTTCTCTTCTCGCTGCACTTGGTAAAACCAAAAAGGTCAAACCAAAAAGCCAAAAACCAGGTTAAAAAAACCAAAAAGGTCATTTGCAAACTGATCTAAATCAAGTGAAAGAGAAGATATGGATCTGAAAAATGAGTCATGAACTTTGTGAAGGGAACATGTCCCAAAATCGACAAGTTTTGGTGAATTTTCCAGGGCCAGTTTCTCGTTAAATTTTTTAGCAACTGATTTATTTACATTCGGTCGATCCTGACTACGCATTAAAAGTTTACTTAGCGGTAATTTATGATTATTTAAAGTCTCTACTAAATTACAGCAGATTTATTGGAATCTGCATGCCCCCAAAAGACTGAATTTAGATAAGAACTAACAACTCTATCGCACTCTTCGCTCCAAAATCTGATATACATGTCCAGTTGCTTCTTAACTTGTTGTGGTTTTTTCAAAAGCCAAAGTAAACAAACTAGAAGACTTTTTTAACTGGGTGATTACTTCATTATGAAAGTATGGTCCAGGGACATGAGACAATACGCAGGAAACTTTCCAGTCACTAAACTGCACTTGATTAACGATAGTGTTACCTTTAAACATAGCCTGAAATAACGGCACAATATCCTGAATTGAAGCAAATGAATAATTGGATACTGCGACTTTCATTGCCACTTTTTGGCTTTGGCTCAACTGCATCATCACAACTTTTGTATTAGTTCCAGTTGTGGTACTAGAGCTAGCTTTTTTTCCAAACAACTTCCTCTGCCCTTTTGCTTTTTTGGCAGCCAGCTGATGCTTTTTCCCCATTAGAATGTTACAGTAGTTGGGAAATTCCACTATTCAAAAATTGAACACAACTGTTAGAGAGACTACAGTATGCAGTATCCCCATCTTTACCTTCTTGACACCAATTACTTAGTAAATCCCCATTTCTGTTGAGAACTTCAAGCCATGAGAGTTGAAATTTAGTTTTTCCAGCAGGCATTTTTCTGAAAGAGAAGTACAGACAATTAATGCCTATTCAAACATATCAAAAAGTTTTAAAAAGCAGAAAGAAATTTCTTTACTAACTTAAGGGGTGACTTATTTTACACCAGCTATAATAACCTTAGGAAATAATACAATGAATTTTTTTTTAAAGTCATCTACACAAGTTTCTTAAACTTACAAACCATATTTTTTTAGAAATAAAACTACTTGCATTTCAAAAGAATATTTTAAAATAAACTTCAGCATTTGACAGATTTGGAAAATTTAGTAGGAATTTGGAAAAAAAAGTTAATGAAAATTTATTTATACCCATTTTAATTCTTAAGTAAGTTTAATTAAGTTTACCAGAGTGAGCTTCAAATTTTTCTTTTAACTCAGAAAAATTTAACAGAACAAAGGGTTGCTTAAAATTATTAAGAATGAAATACAGCAGAGAACCAATTATCTGGTATGTTCGGAACCATCCCTATCCCACATGTCTGAATATCCCGGTTTTCTGAATCTGCTAAAAAACATTATATATCGATGTTTCATCGAACCCAAATTACAATGAAAAATACTAACATATTTTAAAATATGAAAAAATAAAGAAGGAAAGCTCTCCTTAGTTTAAAATTCGGAAGAAAACAACATTTTTATTTATAAAAACATTTATAAATTAAGGTAAGAAAAAATTTTTTCACATATTTATCTAAAAAAAAAAAGAGGCTAAATCATACTTAATCAACTGCGACTGTTTTTAAAAATAAAATAAAAAGCAAACTCAAAATGCAATATGTTAAGATTTTACATTAAAAAATGAATCATAAATAAGTTGGATAAATAGAAAGAAATATATAAATTATGATAGTAAAACTGCAAAATTAAGAAAAGAAAAATAATAAAAAACTTATGTTCACTAATATGCATGTGCAATACCCCTCCTCCTCGTAAATCATAGAGAAAACGAAATCAGAAAGCCGCTCCTTTATGTTTGATTGATGGCAGCTATCAGAAAACCACTGTTTCTTTCCAACACACAAGAGAAAATAAAGAATTTGTGCCTGCCTCACCTAAACCCTGAAAATCTTCAAGGCTACAGAAGAAATATATTGAAGTTATTGAAGAAGTGGCGGTAAAATCAAGCAAAATTTCTCCCGGTGTTCTGTACTGTACCTTTATAAGCATATCAGATATTTTTAAGCCAGATACCCTATTTTTTAAAATTATGTTAAACCATGTTTTTTAGAAGAAAAATTATTTACATTTCATAACAAAATTTTTAATGTAAGCTTCAGTTTCACATTTATTTTAAATAAAAAAAAGCTTTATGAAAATGAAATAATATTAATTTTCAAATTTATTTAGTTTCACCTACATAGGCTGCAAATTTTTTAATTTTAACTCCCTAACATTTTATTGCACCTGTGTGAACTTTAGACTACAGAATAACTATCCTAAATGCTTTAAAATGAATTGCAATTTTTTTTTTACCTGTCTGGATATTAATCTAGCAGAGGAATTTTTAAATCGCGTAAAAATGAATAGCGATTTGTAGACCGAATTATATACAATACAAGCATAGCTCACAAATTATTTCGTAAACCATGATTTGTAAGTCACCTACATAGGAATCACGATTCGTAGTCCAAAATTGTTAAGTGTGACAGTTGTAAATCATGTTCTTGAAAACCAAATCTCTTAAATGCGAACGATTTCGGACTCGCGATTCATGTAATGATTGTTTGTCGCGTGATATGTTCCAAAATTAAACTCGAGAAAGAGAAAAAAATCACTTAATTACATTAACTTACTAAAAAAACTTTTAAGAGAAAAATATAAACAGAAGAACTTACCAAAACGAAAATCACTTTATTGAATCCCCATGACAGCACTATATCTTATTCCCCACGATCCTCACACATATTTCCTTCACTTGCTGAGGATTCCCTTTTACTTGTTGTCGGTGCAGCTGTGTTGAGACATTGCAAACGGATGATCGGTTAAAGAATTTTTTGGTGTGGTTTGATGATTGACATCAGACTAGCGCAAATCTGGAGCGCGGACGTTGAGTAAGGATTATAAGGAAAAATTTAGAAAAAAATATAGAAAAAATAGAAAATATAGCAAATTTTCCAGATTAATAGGAAACATAGGAGTGCTGCGAGACCTGCAACTCTAAATCCATTTTTATGAATCCCTCGAATGCAAATAGCCATAGACTGTTTGATGTTTGCAACTATGATGCAAAAACAGAACAAAATACAAAAGCAAAAACGTAAAACCATAACATACCTCCATTGATCCAGTGGACTACTTAAAATTAATATATGAATGTCAAAGTCTAGTTTAGTGATCCCAGACCACCCTTAATTTCGAGTTTTAATAATTGATAGGATTTTTATTATCCTAATGCTTTTGTTTTATAAAAAATTATATTTAATTAGCAGATATAAAAGTATGAAAAAAATTGTACACTTTTACTTTGTGTTTAATTGCATTGTAAAAAAGACAAAGGAGTTAAAATTTTTAAAATGTCATTTCAAATGTTGCTTAAAGGGGGGACCCCACCCGGAATATTTCAAAAATTCGAAAAAAAATTTATTGCATTTTTCGAATCTTTGTACCCTAATGTCTGTCTAAAATGAATTCTTGGTACTTAACTTCGTTTGGAAGTTATACCGGAAAATAGAGAGTCGTCGCTAAGCAGGTATAAAGACCCGTTCGGCCAGATTAGGAGGGGCGAAATTTTTTTTGTGTCTCATCCATTCTGTTGACTGTATATAGAAACTTATTGTAGGCATTTCATTTATCGACCATTATATATATGAAATTAAACGTTTTACCTAACCATTAGTCAAAACTTTAAACGCGTTTTTCTGAAAACACTGTTTTTTGAACTGGCCTAATGTTTTTCTCATGATCAATACAACGAAATTAGCTATTCTTTATTTTAAATTACGTAAAAATATATCCTTTAGAAAGTAGCATAGGATTTTTTTGATATTTTCATATTTCGATTTATATTAGTATTTTAATAAATTTTTTAATGAAAAACTTAACCTTTTTTTAAAGTTGCCGCCATTTTGGTAATTTTGTGAATATCAAAAAACCGAATTTTAGATAATGTCTTTATGTTT